ACTCACGCTACTTGGTCAAATGGAGTTGCTATCCTGTAACTTTAAAAACAATGTAATACAATTATAGTAGTATAAAATCTTACTCATTATTGTCAAACAGGTTTTACTCTTGTACCAAATTAAGAGCCAACTACAGTAAACCGAAATCAGAGGAAAGCAGAGCACCTCGTCAAAGTCATAGAAACGTACAGCACAGAAACAGACCCCTTGGACCAACTCATCCATGCTGAGAGATATCCTAAATTAATGTAGTCCTATTTGAAAGCATTTGCCCCACATCCCTCTAAATACTTCCTATTCTGTACTGATCCAGATGCCTTTTAAATGTTGCAATTGTACCAGCCTCCACCACTTCCTCTGTCAGTTCATTCCCTACAGGCACCACCCTCTGCGTGAAAAAGTTGCCCCTCTGGTCCTTTTTAAATCTTTCCCCTCTCACCTTAAACCTATGTCCTCCAGCTTTGGACTCCCTTACACTGGGGAAAAGACCTTGTCTATTCACCCTATTCACGCCCCTCATGATTTTATAAACTTCAATAAGGTCACCCCTCAGCCTCTGACCTCGTTCTCGCCAAATTCCCAATTCACACTTTGTACAAATGAAGCAGTACTGGCAAGAGAACACTGAGAGAGATATCTCTTTATTCTTCCTGAAAACAACTGACTTGAGTTTAAAAAAAAAATTAAACTAGCCACTCTTTAACTGGCTACAGTTTCTTTGAAAGTTTGCACACCTCTGAATTCAAGCTACAATATAAGTTTTCTTAAATGCAATGTTTTGTTAATTGCTCAAGTAATGGAAAAGCTATATTTCAGCTAAAAATTAACACTAAAAACCCACACAATATCTTCCAGTGCAATACCTTTTGTGAAAAATACAGGTACAAAAGTGGTCATTTAATACTTCAGCCATGCTCTGTCTCTATACGTGGACACTGTTTTTCAGTCCCAATTGGCCTCATCTCACGTTTTCATGCTTATTTTACTGCTAATATATTTTTACAAGACTTTTCTTTGCCTATAGACTTCTTTTTATTGTTAGTTGCCGGTCTCTTCCTATAATTCTCTTTGGTTCTCTCATTTGCTTTTTCACTCCCCACTGCTTCTTCTGCACTTAGCATGGAGCAGATGGGATAGTGGATGTAGTGAGATTTAACATACATATGCAAGCTGATACACTAAGTGGCATCCAGAAGAGTCAAAGTGGTGTGGAGTTAGGTGATGGGGAGAATGACCCATGGGCTCGGGCCCTTGAAGACAGTTGGACCCTTTCAGAAAGTTCTCTTAATTCACTCTTTGATAGCTATCAAAAGCTTTTTTGCAATCTTTGACAGGGGTGATGCACATCCATCTTTGATGAACTTTGTGGGGCCAGCAGCAAACCTGTGAAAAATACAGGTACAAAAGTGGTCATTTAATATTTCAGCCATGCTCTGTCTCTATACGTAGACATTGTTTGCATCACTGTTAGGGTGAATAGACAAGGTCTTTTCCACAGTGTAAGGGACTCCAAAGTTAGAGGACATAGGTTTAAGGTGAGAGGGGAAAGATTTAAAAAGGACCAGAGGACCAGAGCAGACAGTAGATGATATTTGTGGTTTGTATTTGTATTTGTCCATAATCCAGAATCTTGGGATACAGCACAATGATTTACTCTGCCATCATATTCATCTGATAGATGATTAAAATAAGTGGATAAGCATATATAAAGGCTGCTTTGCTGAAGAACCTTGTAACATAAATGATTCCACTCGAGAGTATTTGATAAGAAAATATGCATGGATTTTTACTCTGCATCTAAACCATACTGACACGTGTACCTTTTTTCAAAAAATCTTTATCGTAATGGCCCTAAGAGGGCTGGTTGCTGTCACTGGATGCAAACAAAAAAATTCCATTCTGGCACTGACATTCAACTTTCTTTTAAATATTTATAAAAGGTCTCTTGAAATATTAAATAAATAATTCACAAAAAGGCAGTGATGTTCAGTAAAGTAGAGCTTTTTGAATTCACATTAATTCTAAAAATAATTCTACCTTTGTGATTTCTTGAAATAATTCTGTCAACCAAATGTCTTGCAGAAATTACATTTTGGGAACCCATTTGTTAATTTCTGTGGTATATTTTCTTATTTTTTAAATTAGATTTAAACTCCTTTGAAATTTCATGAGGAGGACATTTGACAAGCTTCTGCGACTCCATTGACTTCATACCCAGATGAAAGCACCAGCACCAGCACCAGGCAGATTTAAATCAGACAGGAACTTCCAGATCATGCCTTTGGTATTGTGATCCTTTGTTATTTGACTAACATATTTTTCTGCTGTCTTCGAAGAATTAAGTCACTCCAAAAGAATTGAGTTGCTGCGACATACCATTAATAATTTATTGGCATTATAGTCTTTAAGTGCTTTTGGCATAAATCTGTCAGCCTCAATGCGATTTCCTAATGCCCATGAACACACAGCACAGAACTGCCCCTAATTGGCATCAAATCAGCCAGCTGTAGAGGCCATAGAACGCCTAGTTGTACAGAAGCGGGTGTCCTTCTGAGAAGTGGGCCTGAGGCACATTGCTGGGAAATTATATTCTGCATCTAACCATGCTATGCCTGACCAATGTGCCTCAAAGGAAGAGTGCTTGCTTGCTCAAACAAAAATCCAGACTGATGAGTACAAAATATTCACTGAAAGATACAAAATTGGGAGGTGACTATAAGGAAAACAAGGGAAAAGGTAAACTTAATCGAACAGTATAATCTACAGATTAACACAATTTACACTTGGACTATGAGTTACTGCAGGCAGATTTATGAATTATTATTAATACATTAAATTGATTAAGGAAAAGTAGCAGGGTTAATAACAGTATCCAACACAAAAATCAGGCTAATAACAGTGTGAAATGACAGCACTTTGAATGGCCTTGACAAATTTTCACAAACTCTTAGTGATAATTTTCAGGATTGTTGTGACAACATTATAACTTGGCAATGCACAGAACTATGCAAGTAATATAGCCAGCAACAAGCCTGCAACTTAGCTGAGGATTATGAGCACAATTATCAGAAAAAATTTAAATGATCATCATTTGAACCCTAAGCGTGGATTACAAAAACAATAATGTCAATTAATGAAAATGAAATTAGGCAACTGGAGACTGAAAATCTATTTTGATATTATTGTGGATTATCATTCAAATTGTAAACTGGATGGGAAAATGCTTTCATTACGTGCTTAGTACACTTTTCATTTATTACTTCAAAAATTGAACTAAAATGAATGTGTTACAAAATCATATCCTTTTATTTGGATCCAGTGTACAATGTTGTCATCTATAATTCTCTGACAGGGTTCTGATCTGTAAATTCGTGTCCATACAGTAAACAGGTAATGGAACGGAACAGATAATGGGATGGAGAAGATTTAAAAAAAAACCTTTACTTGCTTTTTACTATGATGCTATAATTGTGAAGGTAGAACTTTTTATGTCATGGTTCAGCAACTGTGACTGCCTTCAGTTTGCAATGAATAGTGCTACATTTTAGTAAATTTAATGAAAGTTCACAGGGAAACAATACCATGTGTAATAATGATCGAGCCCTGAGCAAATGAAGAATATATAACAAGCACCATGTAGTCATCATAACTCTGAAATCCTCTAGTATAAGGAACAGCCTTTTATCATTACTGGACAATTTCAACGACTTGTACTAAAAACCACTGAGAGGAGAGCAGAATATGTGGGCTACAGGCTCCAGTGCAGTTAGAGCTGCAGTGTTCACTCAGTGAGAGACTGCCATGTATACAGTGTTCCATAGCCTTTTCAAGTTAAATGTGAAGCTACATAATGTACAAAGTTTATAAGCTCGACTAAAATAGATCATATTAGTTCAATCCATCAGCATATCCTGTGCCAGTAGTGGTTACTGCATAAAACCTATACAGAGTATTACTGGGCTGATAAATCTAAGACAACAAAATATCAATGATAATTGGACCACTGTGTATTGCCTGGAAGAGAAAACAAAAGTGAAATGCATGGTTAACAAGTTAAACTAACAACTAATAATCTACAAGTCTGAATTTAGAGTTAAATCTTTACACAGACTTGAATATCAACATAAAGATAGAAAGGAAAAGTATTAGTTTTGGTTTATTTTCTAGCTTCAGTTAAAATATATTTTGAGGTGGCAACTATGACAAACACTCCCTAAAACAGTTGTTTCTCAGCAAGTGTCAATGGACAGAGTAATCTTTATCACAGCCTGCAAGGAACACCTTTCAGGTCTTAATGCTTAAAAAGGAAAAAAAAATGTTAAACAAGATCTGTTAATATTATCTAATAGCCACAGTAAACAGCATTGCTGCTAAAAGAACAACGTTGAAATTACGACCAGACATCATTCTTGTGAATAGTTTAGAGAATTCCTGTTGGCCCTTATGTTCATCTACACAGTCTTGAATGCTATAACAAGAACAATCCATAAAGTTTTATTGCCATATTTCTTCCCCTCTTCTATTTTGTACAGTTGCCTTTTTTTGTTGCAGAAGCTGCAGAAGAAATAATCATGCTTAATATTGAAAGGGGCAGGAGGGCAGTATATCTCATACTTCTGGATCTTGTTCTCTACCCCCAAAAAGAATCAAAGACAACTCATTGAGGACAGAATCAGACTTTGGACTCTGAAAGGCTGCAAAGATTGTACTCCAGATCTTCTTATATATCTGCGGACACACACGCTAAATGAGGAATGAAAAGCTTTCTAAAGATAATTTGACTATTGTTGCGACAAAGTCTATACTACAGAAATAGTCCTCAAGATCATATATCTGTGACATCACAAAGAGACTTTAAGAATTATTTATACTAGAGTTGGGTGCAGTGCTTATCTCATCATCACAGTGAAGTCAATGTACAAATTTTCTTGAGAAAAGAACACCAGCCGCTCATCTTAAACATTCAAACCCACCCATAATTTTTTACCCACATCACCTACTTGATGGCTTTCTTCTCATTACGGCCTCGGTTGGAGTCTGGTGTGTTGACTACTTCCAATGAGCTCTTGTGTCTTTTACCCTTTAAAAATAGAGATCAGAAAGAAAAGAATAATTTAATAACTAAGAAATGTATTACACCTGCTGTACAATTGTGACAAAATAGATGTTATGGTAAAATGTATTTTACTTGGGTAGGATTTTTTAAAAACGGGCTGGAGTTTGCAGTAACCCTAAAGAAAACTTCCCACTAAAATCCTGCCTCCTTTATGGCATATACTTCCTCTTCCCAATGTCAATTTGTTTTCACATCAATCCAGGGGATCTTCACTGCAGGAACAGTGATGTTATTAAACAGGGCAAACAGTGAGTCACTTCTTCATTTTCTCACAGGCAGAAAACCAGGAAACAAAAACACTGATTTGTTTCACTTTTAAGTTTACGAATATCAAATCCAAAACGATTTTTTTCTAAGATGGGGAATGTTTAGCATGCAGAATGAATTAGCATAGGGATAACGGAGACAAACATTGCAGGTTTTCCATCAATCCAAGCAAAAAAAAAAGTGCCATTTTGTTGCTTAAAATTTAGTTACTCATTTCATTTAATAATCAAACCTGCTAGTTGACTATGGCTCTAGATAGTTCAGGAATCAAAATCAGGAGCCTGTGAACAATACCGTTTTGCATATGGTGTTTATGGTGGTGCATGAGAGTAGATACTGCTTCTTGCTTGCTTTAGTTTATGCAGCAACACTAGGAAGATCAACCCTTCCACAGCTGTGCAATTGATTATGTATTAGCATGTTGCATATATTGATAAGCAAGTGTCAACTGTATCCACATTTTGAAAATACCCTAAACCTGAAAAAAGAACTTTAAGCTCATGCAAAAAATTAGTGATGATTCTTTTCACAACACTGGGATACAATAATATGACAAAAGAGATTGAAATTGAAATTTATTAAAATAAACCTTGAAATAACTGCAGGATAAAAGGAAATAGAGCCTGAGAAAGAATGATGCTGGATTGTGATTTTTTTACAAAATAGATCCCTGTAAACTGACCTCAACGTGTGCACTACAATTAGGTTTAAGCAACAGAAACATTTGTGCCATTCAAGAAATCACACAAAAATTATGAAATGAATGGAATTTTAATCTTAACCCATTGTAATTATCTAAATGAAAATGCCTTAAAAGAACTCTACTTCAAAAGAGAAATAAACAGGAACAGCGAGGAATTCATTTTCACTTCTAGAAAATCATAACATTGACAGTTACACTCTAGGACGCCATCTGCAACTCAGTAAAATCCAAAAGAACTGTGGATACTGTAAATCAGTATAACAAAAACAAAAGCTGCTGGAAAAAACTCAGCAGGTCTGGCAGCACTTGTGTAGAAAAAGGTCAGAGTTAACGTTTCGGACCCGAAACTGCAACTCAGTGTTGTATCTTACCAGTCCGTTGGGACACATCAATTTTTTTTGTTATAAGTTACTGGTGACACTTTGATTTCATTTCTTTCCTATCAGATTATTTCAAATGCTTGTAATTATCCTAATTGCATAAAGTTCATTCTTAAATTTCACATATTGTAGTCCAACATTGATGAAACTGAAGTTTGAACAAATTATCTCTTTATAGTCCTCTCTCCGTTGTCCCCAGCCTGCAAAATCCGTCCCAACGTTATTTATCTGGGGTTGGACTGCTTCGCAATTCTGGGCTCAGGTAGTTTTGTCCCAGCAGCAGCCACAGCCTTCTCAATGGCACTACTATTCAGAAGAGCTGCTAGCTTCAGATTGGAAGTAACTCTTGGAAGGCAGGATGATATTCTCTGGTTCTTGATTGTAGCAAAGTCCCACTGTGGGGCACTCAATACTGCTGGGCTTTCTCGTAGGAGGCAGAGGGAGTCAACATGGAGGGGTGGGCAGGTGGCAGTGGCAGATGGAGTGGTGTGAGGTTTGTCAGGCAGTGGGATCATTGCCTGGGCTAGAATTGCCATTGTACTGAGATGCTTTGACACTCCACCTGATTTACCTAGAGGTGTGCTATCTTCAGCAGGTTTTACAACCAAAATAGCTCTAAAAAATTCCTTGCAGAAAACAGCATCATAATAGGCAAAACTGCAGAAGTTAACATGGTGACATCTCCCTATGGGCTCATCAACACGGCTGCCATTTCTGAGGTTTTGGAAATTCCTGGTTCCAGTGTAAATCCACCTTCCTCCCAAGTCCGATACCATTGTGCCCATTTCTGAAGAAGAGTCCCGACCTGAAATGTCAACTTTCCTGCTCCTCTGGTGCTGTCTAGCCTGCTGTGTTCCTCCAGCTCCACACTGTGTTATCTCTGACTCCAGCATCTGCAGTTCTTACTATCTCTGAGTTCAAACACGATATTTTTCCTTTCATTTGCTGCAGAGAATGACAATGTAGAAAATAAACAAACGTGTTTATGTCGAGACTTACAACAATTATTATGATGGCTTCAGTGTAATGAATAACTTTGAACTGCAGCAGCTTGTGTAAAGAAATATCATTTTATCAAGAGAATGCTATTCATGGACTTGACCGAGTGTGCAATATTCTGCAACTTGGCTATCAGTTAAATGCCATAAAACAGCAAGCAGAAAAATCTGATGTGTACTTTTTAAAAGGAGCTAAAATCACATATTTAGCACTTTTCCATGAATTTGTATTATCACAAAGTGCATTATAGTCATATGTTTGAAGGATGTAGCAGACAGCATGGAAAGAGAATGAAAGGGCAGCAGCAATAAAATTGTCCAACTATGAGGCTCAGTGCTAGATGGTGACTGTAAATGGCTCTCTCACTTCTATGCTGTCCCTGGAAGCTCCTTGGTGCCTCTGGGTCAGCAGCATACTGGGCCGCACAGCTCCTCACTGATTGAGTGGAGTCCAGCCTCAGCTCAATTCCATCTCTCATTTTCCACGATACGTCATGAAACCTGCCCAATGCCAGGAAGAGTCGCTGGATGTTGGCAGCAGAAAAGGCAGCCTCCAGGAAACGCTGGAAAACATTTACTGGTTTAATGGCCACCTTGAAGAAGAAATTCTTGCAACCTTCAGGCAGGGTATACATATGTATATATCACTGCAGTTTAAATTACCTGCTACATCCCTTCTTATGCTGGTAAATGCAGCATCAAGAAAAAAAGATGATAGATTATTGATGTTGTGCAAATGTCCTCCCAACCTCTGATATAAAAATAGTTTGTTTCTAAATGAAGCAAGAGAAATGCAGCAGCCTCTCTACGTGGCAGTGCAGCTTATGGTTCTGCCTGTCTGTGTCAGCACCACCCAGACACATGCAGAGTGCAGCTGCTCCAATGATTGCCATGACTGGAGAAGGAAACATACATGTGAAGTAACTCTATGATTTGAAAGGCACTAATTCTGACAATAAAATCTGCATGGCTTTAACACAAAATAAAAGTTTGACTCTTTTGTACAGACATGTCGTGCTGTTGTTGCAAGTTCTGGCGAATCACATGAGGAGCACCTATACATACATATGGACTGTGCTTAATCACATTTATTAATCCAGAGCACCTACATACACACCTAGGAGATTGACTGGACACTCAGGTAATTACAGACATCAGCTGATCCTCATTCGAGATTGCTACTTATATGTACCAGTAATACAGGGTTTATGTGGCATGGTGGTAAGTATCTACACCTCTGGGTCTGGAGGCCTGGGTCTATCTCCCATATGCGTCAGGGACGTGCAAGAACATCTTTGCACAGGTTGACTAGAAAATATCTAATCATACCAGTAATAATTACAGCAAACACACTGGAAAAATAATGGGTTTGGACCAGTTATACTTGCATATCATCTGTAGCACAGTAGGAAGTGCCAACAATACTGAATTACTTGTCATATTACAGGCACTAAAAATACTCGCAATATCATCAGTTTAAGCACACTGTACTGGGTAACCAAAACTGGAAGCAGACATCAGTAGTACAGTTTTTCCATTTTGGAATATAGTCACAATTGTAACATAGAAACGCAGCAGCTAATATTCTACTGGTTGTTCCTTAATTGGTTGGTCAACAACGTTCATTTTGGAACTAGTTGAACTCTTCCTACTACCACAGGACGTTGAGGCTAAGACATACATACAGGCTGAAAAGCAAGGAGTGTTGATTGTGAACAGCACACATTTTTAACTCTCATACACTGCTTGTATTGCACTACAACTTAATATCATACCATTAATCATCGGAGTTTTTTTTACCTCGTCAATATAATTTCATCTTGGTAATGTTGTTTGAAGAGTAAAGTTACCCAGAATGCCTCTGTTATCTTTTGCAATTAAGGTATATCCACTAATTCAGGTGTCTTTTCTAAAGATAGGAGTCCAACCATATTAACCTCTGTGTAAATGTATGCATTTGACTTTTTGCAGCTTGGAAACTGTGTCCTACATCTACACATCTCTGGAAATTGACCTCCAGCCCTACAGATATCTGGGTATTACCTGTGCCAGTTCCATGAGCTGTAAAAAAAATTGATAATGGCAATAATTCCAATAATAACTGTTTCTTATGAATTTTGATTTAAAAGTTCCATAGACAGAGTTGTCCACAAATCTGTAGAGATAATTAATAAAATAATCTTTAAAATTCCCTGGAAGATGAACTGCATTGTTAAATCTTGTCTCATTAAGAGTTTTGTTTGGTTGGGGACTCAAAGGCTTTTAAAATTTAGTCCTAACTATCTGTACATTCTTTGAAAATTTGTTGATTTATAACATAATTCAACAAAGGACCTACTGAATACAACAATGAATTAACTTGTTCAGAATTGCTTCAGAATTGTTTCCTACAAGATGTTCAATCTTGTACTCTGTTTGACCTTTTTCTGCCATTAAATATTTTTGAAATGATTATTTCTCTTCCTATTTCTTATTTCATTCATTCTTATTCCTTTAACATGACTTTAAATCTGTAGCATTTCAACGTTGCTCATAACCTGTTGTCTCAGAGATAGCATTGATCTAACGTACCAACATATTTAAATTCTGTTGTCTTAAAGTTGCTTCAAATTTTTA